CTTTAGCATTCCACTATAACTAGCCTAACATTAATTTTAAAATTCCAATACATTAAAAATTTCGTTTAAACTATACACAAATTAACCAATTCTACAGTAGAAATTATCACGGGGATATATATTTAATATTATTTAATTAATTCCACCCAATTTTTTAGAAAACAAAATTTAATTTTAAATATATTTAATTTAATTTTTTGATATTTTTCTTCGAAAACGAAAAACCATCCAAAATTCGATAGAGAAAATGCCCCGTCGCGGCAGTCGCTCACTGCAGGATCCGAGGCCTGACAAAGTTCATTTTTATAAGGATTTCCGACAGAAATCAAGACCTCAGCAGCAAATGCAGGATTTTGCTGTTCCATGTTTCGAATCCCATGTCTTGGTCCGATAAATGTTGGTTGCTTCTCTGAGAAGCAATACATGTATATATAATATTTATAAGTGCATGTAAGTTCATATAGGGATATATAAGGTTCATATAAGTTCCATCTTAAATAGTTTGCCGTCTAGACCTACTTCAACGCATCGAAGAGCGGTCCTTGCTCAAAATCAGCTGAGAAACTTTGTGGCGCCAAAACGCGCCAAAGGCCTCCAGGGCAATACAAGCAAACCCTGGGAACTTGTGAGACTCTGTGCCCCCCTCGAAGCTGCAGACAGAAACGGACCAACTGTATCCAACTGTTACAAAACCTCTGAATCCACGCATTGGAGAGGGTTGGTCAAGTGAGACACATACAAGCTCACACAAGCACTTTCCGATCCATCAGTCATGCCCCATCTGAATGGCTCACTACTTCGTGGGCAAACAACCCAGGAGACCTCCCTACGACATGGTGGGTGGGCAAACATCGGCAGATCTCAGCCTGGTCGCCCTGGCGTTTAGTCCACCCACTTGGTGAGGTAGTTGCTGCCCTTCAGGGCAGCAGCCACCTGGCAAGGTCCATTCACTGTCTTATGCTGTCTTACGTTTTCTAGTGTTGTTACATGTTGTTACAATATGTTACAATCTAGTGCTCTGTTTCTCAGGATTTTGGGATCTTGGTCGACGCAGGCAGAGTTTCTCAAAATGTCCTGGCCTGTTCGCTGCTCATGGATGCATACCTTGCAGGGTCAAAGAGTTCAACAAAGTTTTGCTGACAAAAAAACTAATTGAAATCCACCACAGAATTTACTCCAAACCTTGGGGAGAACTCCCTGTGCCCTATGCCGCATGCCCCAAAAATCGGTTCCCATTTGGATCATGTCCGAGATCCCCAAGCACATCGGAAACCTTTCAAAAACAGCTGGGCCAAGAGGCTTCTTCAAGTCCTTGGCGTTCTCCCATTCGAAGAACTTGATGCCGTCCCTTTGGGGCTGGCAAATGGGAGACTTGACATCCGCTCTGGTGAAGTCTTCAAACACTCAGCTTATGTTCAACTCTTAATGCGGTTATTTGGGCTCCGAATTACAAAGAACTTATTCATAAACATAAAAAAACACTTTACACTTATCTAATATTATTTACATATTTACGTTGATCTTGTGAGACTGAAGTCAGCGAGTCATGTAGATTCTTGGTTATTGGAAAATGGAGCCCCGCTTTCCAGATTGGTGGGAAAATTGGAGCACGGAACCCCAAACATGGCCGACCTGATACAACCTCAAACGGTTCCAATGAAGAATATGTAGATCCAATGAAGTAAAGAAAATGTGTTCCAAATCCCCTGCCGCCGAGCATCTTGGTCACGGCTTCCCTGCCGAAGTGGCAGTAGGCCGCGGTCTCCTCAGCACGGTTTGGGAGTGCTTTGCTTCTGGTATCATGTGAGCAAAGTCTGCAAATTGATCAAATGAATTCAATAAGATCAAACCACGATGAACTCTATCGCTGCATTCTTTAATCATGCGCGATCCAAGATAGTTACACTAGGTGGGAAGCAAACTTTCAAATGGAGCAGCCCTTGGGTGCTGTTATCCGTTGTCAAAGCCTCCCTGCCGCTGCACCGCACAACAGGTCTCCTGGTACTTTGGTTCCCGAAGGGCCAGGGACGCGGCGATGGCACCGGGACGGCAGTCGAACTCAATCCTTGATGTGTTGGATCATGTTTTGATATGTTTGCTTTTTGGGGCCCTGTTCACCTACAGTCTAGAGGTTCCAAGATTCATTTCATGGTGCAAACATGGTGCAATGGGCCACTTGAGTCCAACGTAGTGTCCCGTCATCTTCCCACATGCGCTTGTCCGAACATGTGGTACTTCAAAATCCATTGGTTGTCATCACTTTTCCCATCGAAGCAAACTTGGGGGCGTATGGGTTCCACATCTTTCCGCCGAGTTTCTTCAAGACGTTGGTGATGTCATCCACCGTCAGCTGGCCCTTCTCGCTGCCATAAGCCTCTACCTCCGTTGGGAAGGCGGGTCCGGCTTCACACTCTGATACGTAGATGTGCATCATATCTGGGAAATGCTTTGTAACTCAATATCTAGGTGAACTTGGGATATTTATGGATATTCATGGATATTCTATAAATAGGTTCAAAATGGTTCAAACATGGTTACTACAGTAAAGTACTAGTTATATCTAGTTATTATAAATAACTTATAATAACTTATTTGCAAGTTTGGGATGCATTTCCAAGTGTGTCTCAATGGATGTCCATTTCCGCGGTCCACAAATCCCTCACTGTCACCAGTGTCACCAGGGCTCCCCACGAAGAGAGACAAGGGCTTGGCGACGCCGATCGCATAGGACAGCTGCCTCGGCTCCACCACAAGGCGTCTGGTCTCAGCAGGAAGAATGCGAGCAAAATCCGAAAATCCACATGCCGCAAACTCACTGCTCCTTGCTGCCTGGCTGCACCAAACACCTGGCTGCCAAACCAGAAGACACCACGGACTTGGCCTCGGGCCACGGGTTTGGGTCGACCTATGGGCTCGTATGGTTACTATAGACATCTATAGACTATAGGCTTGAAAAGGAGTAATGACCAGGCAGAACACAATGCCCGAATAAATCAAACATCGGCAGTGTTTGCATGATTTCCACCTTCCAGCACTGACAGGATCTGTCCACTCTCAGACCCGGGCCATCTGTCGGCAAATGTATGCTGCGGAGCGATCCACCTGCAGCAACTGTGACAATGTGCAAATCCCATGCCATCTCTGAACCATTGGCCGAAGCATTGAACCTTCAGATGGTGCCACAATGAGACCGTACCTGTGCCGACCCTCACTGGTCTTTGAACATGACTTGTTCAAAGGTCAGCGGCAAAGGATTTTACATATTATGCTGAATTATGCTTCCCATATCTTCACAATTCAGCAAAGGAAGAGTACACAGCCAGCAGCTTGGAAGAGGGTTGATATGCCTTTTCTGATGACCCCGCGTTGCTACTCGGTACCTACAGGATGGGCTCTTAAAGCTTTGGGTACCCCTTCTCACCACTGGTTTCCCCAACAAAAATGAGCAACTTAGGATCATTCTGGGATATTCTGGGGTTCCCCAATGACTCAGCAAACCCTCATATTGTCCGAATATGTATGTGTATGAGTTGTTTACACATCTATTATATATATAGTTACCCTCTGCATCCCTCTGCTAATCAAACATGGCTTGCTGGAAAAAATCACCTATTTATTTCGATTCTCCCATTGAAATGCACATTTAGTGGATTTCCCAGCAAGCCACATTTAATTACCAAAAGTTATAAACTCATGATCCCATTAATATTTCGTTCTATCACCATTGTTTGCTAAATCACCATATTGCAAGGTGGACATGCCTCGTTTTTTGTTGATGAAATCCCTACAATGTGGGGCCCCCTAGATAGCTAAGTTGGTTTAAAACTACAATAACTACGGTTTATGATGGTTTGTGGTACTCAGAACTATAGTTACTTAATGGGGTTTAGTTTATAAAGCAACTTACAACTGGGGGGCCCACATAAGCAAACAGCCAATATAAAACCATGACAACCATTTATATACCATCTGGTTATTTAACATAGCCATGGAAAATCATCATTTTTAATAGGTAAACCATCTATTTCTATGGGCCATCTATACCATGGCTATGTTAGTCATAACCAGAGGGTAACTATCGTTCCAAGATGTTCCAATGCCGAACCCCCCTTGGGGCGGTCGGCACCTTGGTGGGATCCTTGCCACTGAAGGCGCCGCCACCGTGGGCTCCCCAGCCGCCGTAGGTGTCGATGATGATCCTTGGCGCCGCCATGTTGGAGTGGTTATAACATGGGTATAACATCGTCCCATAGCCTATGGTAGATATAAAGAACTAGTTGGGGGGGTATAATCCAACTCGTAGTCAAGAGTCTTTTTTGAATGGGTATAACAGTACAATCATAGTGAAATAACCCCCATAAGCTGGGATAAACATGGATATACTCCCTGTGACATCCTATGACTATGGTCCTATGACCACATATTCGTGGAACTGCACCAAGGAGTTTGAGGTAGCTGCTAACGTGTGAATCACAGGCGAATGGAGGGATCCACAGAATTTGTGGTTAAACAAAAGATATTTGGGCATCAAACTGTAAATCATGAACAAATGGAACAATGAATGGATCGATTGGTTTTGGATGGTTTGAGGGAAAATCTACAAGGAAACCATTGTTTTTACCCCAAATATGAGGGTTTCCGGCAACACTTTCCTTGGATCTGAAAAACAGCTGGGTGATTGATGATTTATCAGAATCACCAGGTGGTTGAAGGTCAAAGTACAATGTTCACAGTATCAAATGTCAATTAAACGTCAACTATACAACCTAAAAACAGGACCTATTTACTGGAGAAGTTTGCATGCTGTCTATATGTATTCAATCTAAATGGATATGTGCACATTTGGTGGTCTGGTGGTGGGACCTGGGACTGACAATTCGGACGGTAATAGGACGGTAATAGCACAAATTCCGATGTATTTTCCCTTGAATCGACCCAGGGATTAAGAATATAATATAGGATAATAAATGGATATATATATATATAACACTGTATATCGGTATGGTGACTGACAATTGGATAACCCCCAACAAAAAACAGATTCGTGCCACAATCACGAGAAAAAATGACCAGCACCCGCGCTCTCACCGGAGCCAAGGCGCTTGCGGCCTGTGAGGCCTGCGTCACCCTGAGGGCCACCGATGATGAACTTGCCCGAGGGGTTGATGTGCAAATGCCTTGCTGGTGCTTAGCAGGGAATGGGGGTTGCTGGGATGATTGATGATCGTTGATTGTGGGTCATTCCCGAAAATTCGTACTGAGCACCAGAAAGTCTTGGGATCTACTTAGCTCTTGGAGATATGGGAAACTCAAGAGTTCCACTCCTTGATGCTCAGCTACAGTGAAACACTTGGATAAAGATTTGGAGACACCAAACATCTTCCAAGGCGGTCTATCTTCAATACTGGAATACACAGGACCTACTTAGACCCTCCCAGAATACTGGTTGTATTATCCTCATTTTTCACGGCACTTGGAGGGTCTAGTACATACTTAAATACTTCATGCAGCTGTGCCCCATGATCATCTTGCCGAGGTACGTGTGGCTGCCATACAGTGTCAAGGCCTCATCCCAGAGGCTAAGTGTAAAGCGTTAAACCCACGGTTTCTGAAGCATCAATATGCTAAATATATCGAAAAACACATGGCCAGAGCATATAATACATCAATCCGTAAGGCCTAATTCGGCAATGCAACTGCCACCTCTCATCCGGTGTTCATCAGTTTGAGCGCCACTATTCTTCATAAGATCTTGGCTTATATTGGGCTCCTTGTCTGTGCTGATTATACTATGGTAGATGGAGATAAACTGAGAAGTGTTCCGTCCTAACTCGCAATATCATCGACGTCAGCTGCCGTTTGCCAAGGAACAGGTTTGCCGCTCTTAAGCTTGATCTCCTGCACAACATATCTGGAAAGCTCAGATTGCAACCTGCAATATCCCTCCGGTAATGCTGTCCTTAGGTTACTCCTTCCTTGAACCGTGCAAGGTACCAAGTCTGAAATGCCACTTTAAACATCTTTAAACTGCATTGCCTTGATGTTGGCAGAAATGTTTGAACTAATATGGCAGCTTGATGAGTCTCAAACTTGGAAAACATGGGAGGTGCTGTGAAGTTCATATCACTCAGGCGAGCAATGGTGAGTACTGACTCACGTCAAGTCCTCCAAGGTGCGCTTGATCACCTTCTCCTCGATCTCCTTGCCGCGTCGATGGTAGATGATCACGGATCCCTGCTGAAACAATTCTGGCACTTTTTCTTGCAAGTGTTCACTTTAATTTTGGGCCATTAAGCTATGATTTGGTCCCCAGCAGCCTCAACGTGCTCGCATCTCATGTGGCTGCTTCAGAGCATCAGCAGTTGAGAAAAAACATGCTATATAATCCAGTGGGTCCTGACTTCAAAACGCGGTTTTGGACTGTCATATACCTTGCACTGTACCAATCCCCAAAGTGCCAGGATGGAAGGCTGGGGTCCTTGTTCATGTCAGCCATGCTAGGAGCAGTCATCTCTGGGCCATTGTAGCCAGCGCACTCCTGGCCACCAACAAACAGTCAAGTCCTTGTCTGGCTGCGACAACAAATCGTGAACTATACCGCTATCACAATTACCACAACCACCTCAAACACCCCCACCCCAACCCCCACCACCACCACCACCTGCGAGAATTATCACCCCAGAAGAGTAGATAATTGCAACTGAGAATGTGGACAACTCTGCTTGACAACTCACGCCCTTTTTGTCTCACTGTGCTAGCAGAATTTACGCCTCCTAATCTTGAGCCAACATGTTGTTGGCGGAATGCTGATCTCGTTGATCAAAGGAAGCACGATGCGGCTGAGCATGTTCACAATGCTGTGGCAACAGGGAGAGCTGAAAGCTTGGTTGCAGTCAAATTCTCTAATTGTTTCCAAACTCACATTCGGTTCAGACGTCATGTCTGCTTACTCTAGTTCGGAAAAAAAAACTCTTGCAAATTTGCACGGCTCTCAAATTGGAAATGTGATCAAAAGCGGTTCAAAAACTTCGATCTCACAGATTGCTTGGACCCAGGAAACGCAAGACAATAGGAGATCATCAGGATGTTCAAAAAAGTCTCAACCGTGGAAACGTCGCAAAACGATTTCTGAGAAGCTTCAAACTCATAAGCTGTACCGCAGCTGATTATAAATTCCTCTTTCGCACGTCTAAATGTTTCTCCAAAATTGAAATCACTGTGTGAATTCCGCGTTCGAAATCTCAATGCTCTGTCAAAGATTGAAATCACTGTTCCGCGTTCGAAATCTGAACGCGCTGTCAGGAAAGTTGGAAATCAAGCTCTAAACTGCATACGACTTGCTCAAATCGCACAAAACGTGTCACATGCTATGCAGCAAAAGACACTTTCACAAATCTCTGAAATCACTTGAAAAATTCGGAGAAAATTATTCCAAGCTGGCAATGCAAGCTGAATGGCATAGGATGAGTTTACAGCATCATCAAGCAAGTTCAGCTTACTGTCTTGGAGGAGGTTGTAAAGAGTTTTGAGGTGTTCGGAGGAGCGCTCAAAGGGATTGATGGCATGCTGAAAACAAGCAAATCTCTAGATCCAAGTGTCATACTTAAATGGCTGTCGCTTTGCTCACGCATGTGGGTATGATTTGATATAGTATCACGTGAAGTCAAATAGACTTGAAGACTTTGCTAAAAGCAAGTTTGTTTTTTTTGTTGGGGCAACATTTGCTCGTAGCTTGCAGCAAGTGATTAGTGATTGGTTGAGAGTCCGCCAGCGACCAAACAATGAATACGCATCGAAAGAGGTGTATGACATTCGCACCCCCTTTCGCTGGCTGAATCTCAATTGCATGGCCCATCGGCTCATCATCTCACTGAAAATCGCACGTCCAGGCCTGATCGGGCTCTGGCAGCTAGCTTGGCATCTCTGTTTTTTTTTTTGGAGCTTATCCCAGGCAGGAAAGAATGGAGAAAACAACGACGGTTCAAACTGGGTTCTCAAGCAGTTTCTTCATGGAATATCGGATTTCTGTCATGCCAGGCTCGAAAAACCGGTATGCTGGGAGTGTGACTTGGCCATGTCCTTGCCAATGTAAACATCTCGATAGGCCTGAGCGATGATGCTACACATCGAAGCAGGATAATGGCTTACTTTGTCCCAATTGACTGCATTGAATGCAACGTGACTTTCACAATTGCACTCTGTGTGATTTGCCAACGATCTGGCTAAACTTGGATGGGTTCCCAACCACAAGAAAATCTTTCCAACCTTAGGATCTGTTTCAGGAAAACTGCAAAGCCGAGGGAACTGTGCATAGATATGGCGACCTACTTTCACAAAGAAATCTGCCATGAACTTACTGTTCCAATACCTATTTCTCTTGGGTAGCTCGAAAGTGAACTCATCTGCTGCAACGGCGAGGCTTTGGCTCAGTTTCAAAATTTGTTCCAACTCAGAAACTTGCGTTGATTCAGTGGGCTCGGCATCTGCTGGGATATATTCAGTCGTGTCTGAATTTCCTGAAGGCTGAAGGGAGAAATGCACATAAACAGGCTTACCTTTCTTTGAAAATCGCTGCACAAGATCACTGAGCTGGGCATGAACATTGTGAAATCTGCCCTTGTGGAAACTCGGACGACTGCCATTTGAATGTCTCCACAAAAACTGGCTTGAATCGACTCGGTTAAATTGCTGTTCACACCGCAACATATTTCCAAGAAGATCCCTGAAAACTTACTAGGCGACAATTCTGGTAAATTGGCTTCTTGTGTTTCTAAGATCAAGCTCAATGGTTGTGAAGCAAACTGTGATGGATCTGATTTCTGAGCGTCTGGCACAAAGACTGTGGAAGCAAGCACGTGCTCTTCATCTTGGGAGTTCGACTCCAAAGACTGAACATTCACTGACTCCGGCCTACCCCCATACAAAATGCTTTGGATTTGATTCGTCTTTCCTTTCTTCTTTTTGGCTGTCCGCTTTGTTTGGGATTCAGATTGTTGGTCTGCCAGTTTGGCTGGAAGTTCTGCTGATTCAATGAATCCCATTGATGTCCTGAATTTCAAAAACAGCTTCATTCCTAAACACTTGGTCAAAATATCTGCAATTTGCTGTGAACCCTCGACCCATGTGAGAATGATGGTTCTTCTTCGGACCATCTCTTGGCAGAAACAAATTCTCAACTCAACATGGCGACTGCGTCTTTGGAGCCCTGGTGAGGTCAGGACTCGGATGGCTGCTTGGGAATCACAACGGACTTCCACCTCAATGGCTGTGGCATGTTCAAGGTCTTCATCAACTAATCCAAAAATCAGGGAGTTTGCAAGACTGTGTATTCGATCTGAAGCTTGAAAACTTTCATGGATGTTGGTCACATGCGCGTGAGTTTCTAGAAAAAGATGCTCAGGGATACGCTTGATTCCCATGCTCTCTTGAAAGGATTCAGCTAATGCTGACAGTTCTGACTCGCAACTTGAAAGTGCGACCACTTGTTGCAATCTTGTGAAAGCTTTGATGATGGACCCGCGATAAAAAACACACGCGCCAGAAATTGATCTACGCTTGAGAAAGCGCATTGGGGCCCAGCTGGCATCACAGTAGATTACCAAGCGTTGCGCTTCTTGTTCCTCGATGGTTGCTTCGGGAGATGGGAATCTCTGGTAAATGCCTCTTTGGCTTTTCATGAATTTCAACACTGATCTCAAAGCCTTTTCATGGCGATCTTGCGGTGTGGCCATGCCTGTGGCTAGCAAAGCTATGTATACATTGATGAAAACATATGTTTGGGACATCCAGGACTGTTTGCCTAAGGCTGCTCTGTACCGCATGGCCGCATCTGGGGATAATTCATCAGACTTGGAACTGTCTTCAAGTATCGGTCGAAGATCTGGAGGATTTATACTGGCAGTGCTGATGCTGTAGGCCTCAAACATACCATCTAAATAGTTTTCATCCAGACTGATGGTAATCTCTTTGCTGTTGGATTTTCTTTCGATGTTGCGGCCAAGAAAACGCAAACTGCCACCCCCTTCAAAACTTCGCTCTATAAGCCCCGTGCGTTTTACTTTTAGGTGTAGGGCCAAATGGTCTTGAACGGCAACTGCAAATACCTTACTCGGGGCAAACACGAGCAGATCATCAACGTATGCAACTACTTGCACCCATGCCTTTCCATGCCCTTTGACTGAAACTTCTCCAGAAAAAACAGTTGTTTCAATCAAAGACGGTTTGATTCCTAACTCTTGCAGCAAGTGGCTTAAGTGTTCTACCCAAGCCAAACCGCTTGTTCTCAAGCCATTTATGGCCTTGAATGCTTCGAGGAATATCGGGCTACCATCTGGAAACTGCATAGTATTTGGTGGCATCTTCAGAATGACTTTGATGGGTTTGCCAAGACGCCGGCCTAGAGGAGAAGCCATGAATGCAGCACTGATGTCCAGGCCTAGAATCACCAGGTCCAGGACTGCTGCTTCTGCAATGAGGATTCTCAAAGATTCAATGCTGGAAGTAGCGAAGAAACCATGAGGTCACGGGCAGAACTCTTCCCTTTTGCCATTTCCCGTGCAACTAGTCGCATGCGAACATTCAAGGGATCTTTCTCAACACAAACCCATCGGCAAGTGATTATACTAATCTGCCATTGCTTGGCAAGACGCTGGGCTTCCTGCTCATGGATTGGTCTGCCAACCTTCTGACTGGTCATGGAATCGATTTCAGTGCGCATCCCTGCATACGCAAGGTCTTTGTCGAGATATTGGCCATTGGCGTCACTGATGACATATCCAGGAAACAAAAGTAAAATTTCTTCCCCACAAAGGTTTGCCTTGCTGCTCTTGGGTTTCACTCCGCGGATCTGATAAACCGATTGCAACATGCCAATGTGACGCTCTTCTAAATACGAAAGCTCAAAGTTATCCAAGGCTGTTACCAAATCTAACTCCATAGCTTCCGTGGCTGTAGGTTCGCCTCCAGCAGCTGCAAATTCACTTAGGTCTACCATTCCGTCAGCAGAGTCGTCTACTTCCATGTCATGGATGATTTCTGGCTCGTCCAATGCCTTTGGAGAACTGGGTGCAAGGCTGGGCGAATATGGAACATCATGTGGATTCTCATCGAGATGTTGACCCCCTTCAACTGGGAGACTTTCTGGTATGGGTTGATTCTTTGGAAGATCAAACGAAACTCGTTTCTCTCTGTTTGCTGGAAAGTCTGGAAACCTCTGCTGGATGGGTTCATCAGCTTCACCCAGGCCTGGCGGTGGCTTCTGCTTGCCACTCAAACGTCGCACCTGGCTGCCATCGGCTGCCAAAACAGGACCCTGAGACATATTGAGATCAGACATGGGATCTGATCGTCTCCTCAACCACTCAATATATCTGTCTATACATTTTTATTGTGCTTCAGTCCGTGGACACTCTGATGGCGCGCACAAACACTACAACCTTTAGTACGTCCATGCTCATGAATCCAGGATGAAGGAACATTCTTGACGTTTGAATATTCCACAGGCTCGATAATCCTAGAGGGCAGAGGTTCAGACATCTTTGCGGAGAGATCTTCAATGGAAACATCAGGCTGCATCCGGTCGAAAAAATGCAAAACAGATGGAGACAAGGAGACGTCCCACTCCAATGGGGAAACAATCTTAAAGCTCTTGCAAACGAAGAAACGTTCTTGCCCTCCAATGACAGTACAAACGACATCCCCCAATGAGTTGAACTCAGGTCGCAAATACGTTGCCTTCTCAAATCGGGAAATGCAATCTTTCTTCAAGCTAGCTGGCACCTCTGCAAGGACAAGACTGCCAAACATGGTTGTTTTCCGGGTCGTCTCCCGACCAAGTGCAAGTGACTTTGGACTTTGTTTTGTATCTAAGTAACATGAAAAATAATTGGAGCAATGACATAAATATGCCAAAGCGGCATTCACAGCTGTCTGATTCCTGACGCAAACATCACAGCCATTCTCACGCAAGTCTTGCCGAAGAGTGTTGAACGCATCTTTAATGGCTCGGACTCCAGCCTCTGCTCCACCAATGGTCTGGTGACCTTGCGGCGGCGCTTTGACAAATGAAGCTGGCCTGTGGTTGATGGCACCTTTCATGAAACTTGAAACAGCTTCTTCTGCGTCCGTGATAATTTCAATTGGCTCGGGGCATTCTGTGGACATATTGAATTCGCCAAGCCAGGCCTGTATCCATCGGTGCGACAAACGAATGTCCGACTGGACAGGGGCCACGCCTTTCATTCCAGCGGTCAAATCTACCATGATTAGATACTTGAAAGACTCTTTGTTTGCTTTATCCAAGTTCAAGAAGAAAAAATCACATGCCATCTCACTGCTCAACACCGATTTCTTCTTTCTTCTGTGGTGAGTCGTGGACTTGGCTGCTTGGCAAGAAAGGCAATCTGCATGGAATGGAAAATGGCCTTGACGGCGGTGTTGGTCAAGCTTGGATTTATTCAAGTCTCGTTTTCGCAATACAGCTGGATGCTCTGAAGACTCTTCTGAAGGAATGGATGCAAATCCTGTGTTTGTGTCTACAGTCATATTGGGCTCATAATCAAAAGGCTCGCTCGAATCCGGAACAGAGTTAGGCTCCACACTGAGGCTTTCACGGTATGGAGATTCACTATCGGAAACAGGCCTACTACTAACATATGCTGGGCTAGAAGAGGATGCAGCAGCGGGGTCAAGTTCTTCCAATGAAACATCTGGCTGTCTCTTGGTTGTCATCAACATGGATTTGTCAGTTTCGCTCAAATGCTCAACCGTGTTCACCGGACCATCATGGATTTTCCGACGGCTCCAAAATGTCTTCTGCAAATCGCGATCATCGGAAAAGTCCATGACCGTCTCAACTTCGTGAAAAATCCATGGCACATTCTGCCATGTCACCAAGTCCAAATTGTATCCTCCAAAGCACACTTCCAATTCACTTCCGGAACTGCTTAATGACCAACCCTTTCGCAGCAAGCTGCCCACTGACAAAACATTATTGGGAACATCTGCTACAAAAGCTGAAACTAAGCACTCTTTCAACATGGTGTCTGAAGGATCTTCTCTGGACGTCAAGCGGAAAAATGCTTTCAAGCAAACAAGGGAAGTTGGATGAATTGTCTCACCGCTTGCCGATGAAAACCCAGGGCCGGTTGCTGGTCCCAGCACTTGATTCTTTACTACTTCATAGTGTTTCAGGAAGCGAGAACTCACAACAGAGGCTGATGCTCCTGAATCAATGAGCCACCAGTGCAAATCTGATGGGACATCTGGCATCATTGGCATGAAAACTGCAGCTGACATGGTACAAACATGCTTGGTTTTACTCCACAAATCTGATGGGTTTCCAAAACATGAAAAATCAAAATCAGAAGAAAACTGTTCCTCCATGAGAAATGATCCGTGGACCAAATCGAACTGCTCTTCTGTGATCTGCTCTCGCTCAAACTGCACGATCGTGTCTTCAAACCAAGACTGAGTAGGCAAAATGGGATTCAAAGGGGCTGCTGCTTGCTTCGCAGCTGACGCACGGCTGCCATCTCCATTGGAACCCTGACTTTCAGCTGGACCATTGGTAGGCCACGATTCGCCTTCAGGCTGCTCAAGCATTTCATTGACTTTCTTACCTTTGGATCCTTTGCCTTTTCCTTTGTTCTGAGGACCTGTGCTGGAACCTTTCTCTTCACCAGATCCCTTTCCATCTTTCTTTGGAGCGGGCTTCCCTTCAAGCGGCTTGCCATCCTTGTCTTTCTTGGCATGACAATTTGAAGAGAAATGGCCTGTGCGACCACATCGGAAACACGTGGCATTCCTTTCCTTCTCTGACTTTTCACCATTGCCCTTAGCTGCACCTTTATTTGAATCTTTTGCTTTCCCCTTTCCTTTCTTACCATCTTTGCTTTTGCCCTTTCCTTTCGGCTTGTCATTCGTGTCAAACATTCCATGCATGTAGGTGGCAGAACTGCTGCCTGCAATCTCTGTCCAAGTTCTCTGGTTGGCTTCGTACAACAAAGCGGCATTTTTCATTTGCACATAGTCATGGCTTGGGCTATGCATGACAACATATTCCCTCACACCAACAGGCAAGGATTTGATGAGGACCATCACCAAATCACTAGGGAGCAGGGCCAAATCGGAAGCTGGTACATTCGAGGGCAACATCCGAGCAAGCTTGTTGTACCGGCTCTCCTCGAACTCAATTTGCTTGATTACCTCTGTCACTGTTTGAGCTTTGAAAGTTCGGCCAAGCAAAGATGTGCGGAAATGCATCAACTCAGCACGAGTCTTGATCATGTATTCTTGGACAATCCTTCGCAAAGCCTCATACCCGTTCTTATCTCCAGGGCCTTCTACATAAGCAAGCAGAATGATTTTGGCTCGCGGAGTCATCTGGAAGGTCTGGCGAAGCATTGCCATGAGCCTGGAGCTTCGGGAAATCTGGTCAGTTGACAAATCTTTCTTGTCAATTGGCAGCGGAGAAGTCGCAGAAAACTTCACTTCTGTGCAAAATGGCTCTGAAATCAAAGATAGCCAATTGCAAAATGAATCGAGCCACTGTTCCATGCCCAAAATCTCCTCCATTCGGCTTTTCCACCGATTCGACTCGACCACGGGCATGCTAGGCAGCCACTTGTCGCTTCTCTGCAGCGCATCTAGCTGTGTGGATCCAGGAACTTTAGGACCCGCGGCATTTGACTGGCCGCCCAAGGGGATCTCCGTACCATCGGGTAAGACAATTTTTACCCCATGTCCAGTGCTTGAGCTCGCATTCACTGCAGTATTTGCATCGCCGATGCAAGTCCACCTGCACCTTGCTGAGCATTCACTGGCAATTGGATGGGCGGGTCTTGTCCAGAAGTAAAAGGACTGGTTTCTCCCATGGCACCGAAGCGATCCTCATTGGCAGCCGCCACTGACTGAGAAGCAGTTGGAGGGATTGGAACTCTTTGGGCTCGTAAATCATTCAGCTCATGCTGCTGACGCTCAAGGGTGTCAACAAGAGTTTTCTGGTGACCTGCAAGTTCTCGAACTGCCTTGCCAACTTCTGCTTGTAAAGTGTCCATGCTCATTCGGACTCGATTGAGTTGCTCCTCGAAGACAAAGGGGACGGAGGCGTTTGCACTTCCAGGGGCATATCCGGTTGTTGCAGGCAAAGAAACTCCTCTTCTCGTTTGAGAACGGCCTCTTGGTGACCTGTCTCTGGCCGGCTGCTCCATGGCTGCAAAATCAGATTCTGCTAGGTGTAGGTTCCAAGATCTCTTGTCAAGATCAGTTGTCTGTTGTCAATCCTGAACCCTGGAAAATCCTAGGAGAAAACCAATTCAGGGGGGTTCCTAGGAGCACACTGGCTCTCGCTACCATGCGAGAATTATCACCCCAGAAGAGTAGATAATTGCAACTGAGAATGTGGACAACTCTGCTTGACAACTCACGCCCTTTTTGTCTCACTGTGCTAGCAGAATTTACGCCTCCTAATCTTGAGCCAACATGTTGTTGGCGGAATGCTGATCTCATTGATCAAAGGAAGCACGATGCGGCTGAGCATGTTCACAATGCTGTGGCAACAGGGAGAGCTGAAAGCTTGGTTGCGGTCAAATTCTCTAATTGTTTCCAAACTCACATTCGGTTCAGACGTCATGTCTGCTTACTCTAGTTCGGAAAAAAAACTCTTGCAAATTTGCACGGCTCTCAAATTGGAAATGTGATCAAAAGCGGTTCAAAAACTTCGATCTCACAGATTGCTTGGACCCAGGAAACGCAAGACAATAGGAGATCATCAGGATGTTCAAAAAAGTCTCAACCGTGGAAACGTCGCAAAACGATTTCTGAGAAGCTTCAAACTCATAAGCTGTACCGCAGCTGATTATAAATTCCTCTTTCGCACGTCTAAATGTTTCTCCAAAATTGAAATCACTGTGTGAATTCCGCGTTCGAAATCTCAATGCTCTGTCAAAGATTGAAATCACTGTTCCGCGTTCGAAATCTGAACGCGCTGTCAGGAAAGTTGGAAATCAAGCTCTAAACTGCATACGACTTGCTCAAATCGCACAAAACGTGTCACATGCTATGCAGCAAAAGACACTTTCACAAATCTCTGAAATCACTTGAAAAATTCGGAGAAAATTATTCCAAGCTGGCAATGCAAGCTGAATGGCATAGGATGAGTTTACAGCATCATCAAGCAAGTTCAGCTTACTGTCTTGGAGGAGGTTGTAAAGAGTTTTGAGGTGTTCGGAGGAGCGCTCAAAGGGATTGATGGCATGCTGAAAACAAGCAAATCTCTAGATCCAAGTGTCATACTTAAATGGCTGTCGCTTTGCTCACGCATGTGGGTATGATTTGATATAGTATCACGTGAAGTCAAATAGACTTGAAGACTTTGCTAAAAGCAAGTTTTTTTTTTTTGTTTTGTTGGGGCAACATTTGCTCGTAGCTTGCAGCAAGTGATTAGTGATTGGTTGAGAGTCCGCCAGCGACCAAACAATGAATACGCATCGAAAGAGGTGTATGACATTCGCACCACCACCACCACCACCACAACCACCACAACCACCCCCACCACCACAAACACGGTCACCACGACGTCATCCCTACTACATCGGCACCTTGCTTCGAACCGCCTTCAAAGGCTCTGCATGCTGCGTGGAGATGACCACTGTGTGGATCTTCTGGGGTTCCACGGAGCCATCCTCCTTGCCCACGTACCTTGGCGTAGGATCTCAGATTCGTTTTGGATCTATGCTGCGCACCAAGATGACCCAAGAGATTCCTACATTCCTACATCCTATCAATGGCAATTTCAGTCAATGGAATGGTACAGTACATTTATTTTAAAGTCCTAAAGTTCTAACTGATCCTAGATCATTCTAATATCTGAGCCTGACCCACACATGGCAACCTCTCAAGAAAGGTGCTCGATGGTGACCTGCGTCTTGCCATCCGGGCGCAGCCACCACAACTCGCCGCTCTTGCGGACATCGGTGAGCCTCAGCTGTAATATGCTGCGTAATCCGTGATGCTGACGGTCGCGTGATAGTCAACTGGGATCCTTATCCTAGATAGGTAGTATATAAAATAATTACGCATAAATAAACAATCATTATCAATACAGTATATTGATTGAAACATATTGAAACATATTGAAACCACTGAACGGAATTTGATCTATGCTGAATGCAGATTTCTTCTTGGTACTATTGGTGCAACGTCCATCCTCCATCCCCCCATGGCCCCATGGCCCAGAAACTTCTTGCCCAATCGGGTGGCGATGGAATGGGTCAGGGGCATGCAATCCTTGGTGCGATGATCGTTGGTGGTAAGCGATTCAACGGCCCGAAGCATCAAGGACTTTGCTGGCCATGGATCGGAAGTCTCATCGCTGGCATAGCCGAACATGATACCCTGGTCTCCAGCACCCACATCCATCTCATCCTAGCGCCGGCAACTGGAAGAGCAGATTCCATGTTGAGAGAAATGTCTGATGGAAAATCGTAGCTCTTGCTTCTACGTGCACTTGCAAGCCGAGCAATATATTCAATAATCATATGTCCATGTAATATATATATATAATTATATATATATATATACATATCCACAATTCCAGTATCCACAAAAATAATCAAAATCGACGAATCAATATATCCCAATGTATTCAATATTCAATATATCCACAACTCAGCAACCAAACAAATCCACAAGGCCTTGCCCACGTGCACGCCGCCCGCGATGTCCGGGCTCTGCTTGTTGATGCCTGATGATGATTTGGTGATCCCTGGAAGCTGACTGACGGATGGTTGACTGACTCAACTATAGCTTTCCTATAGATGATCAATGATTGATGATTGATGAATGATTTATGTATATTGTATGTATAGTATTCATGGTTTTTGAGGGATTCAGAATGATTATGCATGGTAAACATATGGCTTCCAATACCATCTAGTAGTTTGACATAGCTACAGAAGCCATGGCCCATTTAGATCGATGAATTACCCATTTAAGACAGCGCTTTTCCATACCTATGTTCAATGACCAGAGTGTCCTCAAAATTCAACTGACATTACAAGTATACAAGTAACTTGTTTACAACATGGAAGTTGACCGCTTCGGACATAGGGATGTATATAATAATATTATATAATACAGTGGGAGAACGGCACTATGTCACAACAAACATTGGGGATGGTGACCCCAAAAGCTCCACCTCAATCATCCTGTCTCATCTTTGATCAATGTGGGTAACCAAAAAAAACAAATAATAAAGCAGCATTTGGGGATGGTTTATACAATCCATTTCTGGTGATTTTTGGAATGGCTCATCATGTCTATTACTGGGTTTACCACATATAGAAATTCCCAATTTTTCTTCGAGGCCGTCAAGCGACGCACCAAGACGTCGCAGGTCTTGTCGGAAAGGCCCTTGCTGTCCACTGAGGACAGGTCATCAACAAAGCTTTGGTGTTAACACTGCAGTTTCATCATGGTTTCATGAAACTGCAATTTTCTCACAAATTCTGGGGTTGGAGCTCAGCTCATTGTCGAGGGAACACCCTTTTAAGAGTGGAGTGGTGTCAGTTGATGCAGACTGCTGGACAAAAAGGACATCGCACTAAAGACTTGAGAATACTCAGAAATTTCCGAAATATCCGCTGGAACTCCATTAGTATAGTGTAGAGATAAAATGATATAAATACTATCTAGATAAATTCCAATGGATTGATCATACAATAAATATTGGTATAGCGAATCACCAAACTCTCTGGAGGCATCAAATCTAATTAGGAATCACCAAACTCCCTGCCAAAGGGCTGTCGAAACCAATCTGCGCCACCACACCACGAACTACCTGACAGGTCTCCACAGTCGAACCTCATGGGCCCCTCCAAGCTGGTAGGCCTTTTAAAATGGTCTGTCAATCTCATGGATGTCAGCCTCCCTGAAATCGCAATACGACCAACCCAGCTCGCCTTCTCATAGTCCAGTTTGGCCTGGGTGGTGATTTCACCCGCCACCATGACCATGTTGTCCTGGACGATGCGGTGCCACGAATTGCTCGCGAATTAATTGAGGCTATGATCAACACCCAAGAATCATGATTGGACTTCAACATTGCAAATTGCGCGCGTGCATCCTGATGTTGATATGTTTATTCGAAATCATTGCCGGTGACAGGACATGACCGTGGCGACACGATGAACGAAGATGCAAAAGCATCATCCAATCACGTCCAGAATACTGACAGAATTGCAAAAACAACAATGAATAAACAACAAGAATCATATTAAAACAATATTAAAATTATCCAGCTATCTTTTTCATACACAAATCATCATTCTACAATGATAACACAATCATGCATTCAACCTTTTCTATCCTGTTCCGTTTTTTTTCCAGAACTGACAACAGTTACTACCCTCCGGTACTCAAACATAGCAATGGGAAATCCTCCATTTATAGATGATTTTCCCAGCTATCCAACTTTGATAACTCCGGATGGCATATCCCACTAACAATCATTAGTATCCCATTAGATTCCCATTATATGCCCTTTAACTTTAGATATAAGACAATATATATTATATAGTTATATATACAAGATTTCAGGTTGTTCAAATTCACATTTGTTCAACAAACCCATCAATATCCCATTCACATCCCATCAATATACCATGTATTTCCCATTCATGTCACTATTAAATCACTGAATTTGAATAGGCCACAGTTAAATCCTGATAATATCACTATTAAATCACTATTATTAGTTACCTCTGGTAATTTAACATAGCTATTGAAATTTTCATAGAAACCGTTGATTTACCCAGCGATAAAATGGTGATTGTCCAATGCGCTATGTTAGTTTACCAAAGGGTAAATCACTATATACATTCCAATGGGAAAACCTATAAATTTAGTGGTTTACCCTCTGGGAATTCCATAAATTTCTATAAATCACTATAGAACTATAAAACCAGTAGGAAAATATAGGGATTTATAGGAAAATATAGGAATTTTTAGTTCTATAGTTCTATAAGATATATGGTTTTCCTATCATTCCATAAGAAACTATGAATTCCAATAGGAAAACCTATGCGATCAGTCCTTGGTCACGGTCTCGCAGGCCACCTTTGACTTCGGATCCACCTGACAACGTCCACCATTAAAAAAAAAGTCCCGTGGTATGGGGAAAATATGGGCTATGTATATAAGATTATATAAGAACCCTTGTAAGAATATGTATATATATATATATACATATATACATATATATGTATACATATATGTATATGTATATATGTATATAATATCCCCATCATAGTCTGTTATATCCCGTCCCAATATAGTCTATCATTATGTATATAAGAATATAGACATAACAAACGTCTGATGGGGAATCTATGATGATGGGCAATTTCTTATGCCCGAAAAACATATCCCCAATTTTATATATGTTATATATGACAATATGACAGAACAAATACTATGATGATGTGCATATAATATGTATGTATATATAGACAATCTCGATCCATGTGACAATATAACATAACCAAACTATTTGATAATGGGATTTCTAGGATAATCAACAAATGATAGGGAATTAACTCACCAACAATGGTGAACATATGGGTGTGATACAGGAAAATGCAGATATAATGAGATATTTTGGAGTTTGGACATATATACAAGAGGAATATATATATGTATATATATATATAATTATATATATATGTATTTGCAGGTTATAAATATGTATATAAACATATATATATATATGCACATCACAAATATAAACGTGTGTGTCAGAAAATGTGGGATACCCCCAAGATTGTTATTCAAATATGCTGTAATAGTGATGTGAATCTTGATTCACTTGATTTGATGGTCTTTGGGGTGCCCTATTTTCAGAGAGACCCTTGTAGATATTTCAGATGTCATTTCAGATGCTATGAATAGATTCTTTCCGGGAAATTTCACCATTTTCACATCAGTCTTTTGGCAGATTCGGACGGGAGATACGAGTGGAAACAGAAAACCCTACGAGGAGACCTCGAGACTTGGTCGTCGAATCCCCCACTCATCAACCATCATCAACTATATCCGTTGTTGGGAAAATCTACTGTTAATAATGGTTAATATGATGGTTAATATATGGTTAATGATGGTTAATAATGGTTAATAATAATCTGGCTGGTGGTTTTTTTACCCCTCTGAAAAATATGAGCTCGTCAGTTGGGATCTGATTATTCCCAATATGTGGAATATATGTGGAAAAATAAAAAATGTTCCAAACCACCAACCAGATATTCAATTGCACTTGATGGATTTGATACATTTTGGTGCTTTGATGAAATCCACCCCTACGAAGTCACATTTTGTGACTATAAGCATCAACCAACCGGGGTAGGTCGCTGTGCTCACTTGCTGATAGATCCGGAAGCCTTGAGGCAGGCATCCAACACAGCATCTGAGACCTGCAGAGCTGATGACAAACGAAGAAACTTCTCAAAATATCTGGGGATATGCAAAGACACATCCAGTATATAGAAGTATATAGTACATATACAGTGTATACAGACTCGTCTAGTATAAGTTCAGGACATCCCAAGGGTACATTCTGAATGAAGCCCGGAGTTCACCTCAGGGGAAAACCCAATTCACTCCATTGGTGAATTCTCATTTTCACCAGTATATTCATAAATGGTCATTCGAGGTGTTTTTCTCATCTTCAGACACACCCGTTGATATCGTATCATGTCGTATCATTGCTTCTAGAACAAGAAAATACACGAAATCTAGATACCCTCTGGGAAACTAACATAGCTATTGAACATCAATATTTTATAGCTGGGTAAATCAATGATTTCCATGACCATTTTCAATAGCAAACTCTTAGTTTACCAGAGGCTACATATTCCAAGTGTATCCCCAGTTTTCTATCATAACTTCCCCATGATATCCCCATCAATGGGGCATCACAGCGGCCCTCGTTTTTGGCGCCTGGTCGCAGAGCTTGTCCGGGTGGCCCTCATTCACCGACTCCGAAGAGAAAAGGAAGGTGCGGGCAGCAGTTTTGGCCTGGTCAGATGCGGGGAAACATGGCGGATGTGGGACGAAAAATGGGTGAATCTGTGGTATAACCATGGTGATTCTGCTGGTTACCAACAAAATTATGGGATTTTTGTGGAAACATGGTCATGATTTTAAAAAAACCTGGGTGAATTATATAATATTCTACAGTATATAGATAATATATATTAATATATGGTTAATTAATATATAAGTTGGATATATATATATAGTTCATCATTTAGTACAGACTATACTGGATATGGGTAATTTACTGGATCATCCCACGGATGGTGAATTTCAACAGCTTTTCGATTCGTGGGATGTTACCATCGAAAAAAAAAACATAAATGGGATTTTACTCATGAATCGTATGAACATTTACCATGCCATAAAAAACATTAAAAAACATACATTTACCATCCCAACTCATGAACCAATCCATTGCCATGCGTTTTTCTTGGGGAGTAGTCACCACTGGCATTAAATCGTTGGTCCAGCACGTCTTGGAGCCCAAAGCATATATTTCTTGCGGGATGATGTTTCACTTCAGGCTTTACTTCCGAAACCAGCACCGGCTTGGGAGGCGCTTGCCTTTTCTGCAGTAAACTCAGTAAACCAACAAATGATTTTTCAATGCAATCCTCTTCAGGGTCATGATCCTGAAAAATTGCAAAATCGTATGACATTATGAGGTTGCGCATAATACAACCCACGTATCCACCATTGGACATGGTTTATTATTGGGTTTACCACAGTATTGTTCACTGATATCATATCCCCATTTAAAGTTGGGTATCTCATATCTCCCCATTTCTTGTTCGTATATCCTCATGAGTACATTACATATCATATATCAGAACTTGCTCTTGATTTCATCCCCATAATCTTCCCATTGATTGGCACCACCGGCAGCTCATCTTGGATCAGCACCTTCTTGGCAGCAGGCTCGGCCATAGTGCCGTCAGGATCCGGAAAATCGGGGTTCAGTTTTTTAGTGGAGCCCAAAGCTCCGGAAAAACTTCTGGGACGATTCCACATAACTCGGTGATGCTCGGTTATGATACCCTCTGGTAAACTAACATAACTATGGAAAATCACCATTTATAGCGGATTTTCCCATGAAAAAGGGTGATTTTCCATAGTTATGCTAGTTTACCAGAGGGTACAAATTATCAACACACGAAACAAAAACCAAGTTAATTTGAAACCACCAACGAAACCATGTTCCCAGAAAATCCATGGCATGGTCTATCTTCAGACTGCAGGCACTAGTTGCATGGAGTCATTGTTGGTAGGGAAACTCTGAACGCGCTTTGAGGTAACATTCGAGTCAAAATATCAAAATACTTATATACATAAGACCTCAAGCTTGCTTCTTGCACGTACAAAACACGGTACCGTCCTGCAATCAAAAATCAGAATGTATCTATCTGTAAGAGCAAGACAAACAGTCTCAGCTGCAGAATATCCAAGTGTCTACACGAACATAGTTTTGATGCCCACCCCAATGGATAGAACATACAATCGGGCCATCCCCAACAAATACACTAACTGATAACGGAATGAAAGGATCATGGAAGATATTCTATCATATTCTATCATATTCTATCTACTTCAGATCTTCAGGATGATTCCACCTACACCAAAGGTGGAACCTCACATTGCAGCGCCTTGTTTTGTCACTCTGTTTCCGTTCTCGCACCTGCAAACGATTAAGGGTTGAACCCGCTGGCACTTGCAGCTGCTGCAAAATGTAACATATCTGAGTTTGCCCAAAAATACTGAGAGTAGCCCGCATCAAATTTTGGGTAGACCCTGCTGGAAGAGCCATGACTAGGTCCCGCTGGATCAGAAAATTCTATCAAATTCTTCCATCAACCCTCCATCGTCGCAGGTGGATTCTATGCTCCCAGCGATCTTCACTAGGGGAAAAAAACGGCCCAGGTGGACCCCGGATGACCCCGGCGATCAGCGCAGGCGATGCCCAGCTACCCAGTTGTTCACAAAATACACATGCAATCGAAATAGATCGAAATCATGTGGTAAACCCAATAATTTCTATTATCCCCAATAGGAGAATAAATTGTTATAAACTAGTATAAAGTATAAACATGTATAAACCATCTTCAAATCGTGTATATATATATATAAAAATTATTGGGTTTACTGCCATGATTAAAAATTATTGTGAATGTAGAAGCATGATAAGATATTCCAAAAACATGATGCTTCACCTCATTAGTCTCCGCAAGAGGCCTCTGAGCAAAAACCGAATCAGGCCGAGCTATCTTGAAGCTACAATGGGCTGAACCCAAAAATGGGGAAGAAACCCCAAAATCCATCTAAATCTATCTAAATCCATTTAAATCTACTGTTTGATCATCCTCTTCCTGTTACATTCACATTAAATTTGGGTAATTTTTGGGGAGGTGGAGATGCCCATGTTTCCACGGTGTCACAAGAGCCAGCGTTAAAGCTCCAATTTCTGGTAGGGATGATGGCTGGCTTCAAAAAATTGGAGAATATGGCGATATAATGGGAATTTACGGACATGGTGACATGGTGTGTATATATATATATATATATCAGATCTCTATCTATCTATTTATCTTTTTATCTATCTATCTATCTATCTATCTATCTATTTATCTATAAGCCAGCAATATGAACGGGTGTGTCTGAAAATGGGGTATACCACCGAAGCGGCCATTCACCAACGGGTATAGACATGACTAATCAAGGGATGGAACAGGGTAGTGAATTTTCAGACAAACCCAGATTTTGACATGGTTTGACTATCATTCATCCACAAATCAAAACTTGTTGTACGCTCTGGTACTTTGACCTTGACAAGTCCATGCTTTTCGCATTCTCGGGATCAAAGGGTATGCAAATATCTTCCAACCTGATGTTGCATGACGGCTCTGAATCAGTTGCGCAAAAAAGGCTGGAACATGACACATCACACACCCAGCTAAAGGCATTCATACCCAGCACTAGTCATTCCCTTCACTGATAATATCTGATACATATGACTTGCACCTGTTGAGCTATGAAGCGAGCTGGTCGCAGCCGGTCTGTGGAGTTCAGAGATTTAAGTCGATCAGCCCGTCTCTGCCAGGGGCTTAGATTTGTTGACCCTGGTTGAACCAGACAAAATGGAAGATGCACAAATGGAAAATAAACGTGGAAAACACATATAGGGGTTTCCTAAAATAGGGGTAATCCTAAATCATCCATTCAAATCGAAAAAACATCATCCATTTTGGGGTCTCATCATTTAAGGAAACCCCCATATGATATGTATATAAATGCTAAATTGAAGATGCAAAGGATTGCCTTCTGGTCCAACATGGCCATAGAAAATGGTCCATTTGTGGATGATTTACCTCTTGAAACTTTCTATTTTCCATTGCTATGTTAGATCACCAGGGGGTAAAAGTCTACGGTATGATTACCAATCTAACTGTAGATTCACTGTAGATATTTCCACCGCCAATCCCTTTGTTTCCCTGGATATCAACCAAATTGGTTATCATAAAGCATCTATCGATAGACTGGATATCCTTACCAGTAGTCTCATGGCAGATAGCAGCTATGTTTTTATTCATTTAAACATTATGCACACATAGCTCTCACATTTTGTCTGCTGAACTCCGATCATTTAATGGCACATATGCCCATTAATATTCTGCGTTAAATCCCTATTTAAGATGGTATAATCGTATTTTGGCATACCTATGGAATAATTCCCTTTTTTTCAGAGGAGTTTCGACTAATTCCCCATGAATCCCATAAAATCCATACTTCAAACCAATAAACAGCTGGCGAAACCAAACAAATCCCATGTATAAATTATGTATATATATATACTATATATCCCCAACATATCTCCATTTAATATCCCTCATATTCCCTTATAATCCCAGTTTTCTGATCGCAAAAATCTCCAGATTTGCGCTACGCCCAGGCCGCGGCGGCCGCGCAGCCGAAGCGGCCGGTGGGCAAGGGAGGCCTGGGCTGCGGTTGCGGGAATATCCATGGGAGATCTATGTCCAAGTCATTCTAAGTACATGTGTATGTATAATGTTTTGGATATAGATGACTATAAAGTATATAAAATAATGTTTAGATGGCTGTATAAAATCATTATAGATAAAACATTATATGTGTATAGTGCTGTTTGACTTATAAAAAATCAAACTATAATTGTAATTGTAATACATAGGAATGTTTAAGAATATATATATACCCCTTGGTTGCTCCTAGGGGGGGTCCAGCCCCTGAAATAGTAGACCCCAGTGGCTGTTTTCCAGAGGGGCCTGACCCCCCCATACCCCTTTTGAGCATTTCTGAATGGATAAAATCTAGGGGCCCAAGTCTAGCATTCGTAAACCAAACATTTTTGCTAACACTCAACTTGGACAAGGGAACCAATACTTTGGAGCATTTTGGACGTTCAAAAATGATCAAAGGTCAGGCCCCTCAAAATATTTTGGGCATGTTGTGAATATTTAGGACATACATGTGTTATCTGTGAATCTTATGAAACCATGGACCTCCTGGATTTTAGCCATCGATTTTTTCTGCATGCCTCAGATAAGCTGGCCACTTTGAAAGGTTCTCAACGGAGATAAAGTTGATAAACATGTCATAACTATCTTCCCAAGAACACAATTTCTGCGCACCTTTAACGCCAGTTTTCTTAGAGAGATTCATCTATCAAGGTTAGCGGGTACAGATGTTATTTTCAGGCTTCCCCTCCAAGTTTCAAGAGCAAAGATTGGACAAGGCGAGGTGTTAGTTTCCAGGATTTGGTAGCCTTTTTTGGAATCAATTTCAGTGTGTCCTTGATGTGCAGGAGACTTTGTTCTGGATTTACTTTTAACAAATATGATAAAGGTAAACATCTCAGAACTGTCCCAAGTAAATAAACTTAGTGCAAGTTTTTGACGCCAATTTTGCAGAGAGGTTGATATCTCAAGGTTGGGCACACAGGTTTTATTTGCTGGAACTGAAGATGGACAGGGTGAGATGCTGGTATCCAGGATTTGGTTGCGTGCTTTTTGAGATCAATTTCAATATTTGTCCTTGATGTGAAAGTTCAACAAAGAATGACGTTCAAAAGAGATAATATTGACAGGGTTTCCGTGGCGCGAAAGCTGATAAACATGCCACACGTTTCCCAAGAAAAAAAATGTGCACCTTTGGTTGATGCCTGTTTTGCAGAGGGGTTCATCTATCAAGGTTGGGGACATGGATTTTACTTCTTCTTGGTTTTTTCCTTCAAGCTTCGCCCCGCTAGGTCGAAGCAGCTATCCGGGAACAGAAGAAGCACAGGATTTGGCAGCCTTTTTGTTTGGGTCAAATTCAATATTTTCATCTCAAAGTTCAAAAACAATAAAGTTTCAAGGTGAGGAAATTTGTAACGGTGAGTTTGATAAACATGCCAGCAATGCTCAACACAATAAATCTCATGCACCTTTGTTACAGTTTGATGCCAGTTTTGCAGTGGAATTCATCAATCAAGGTTGTTTTTTTTCCCTTTCCAATCCAAGGTGTAGGTTGGACCTAAACTGAAGGGGGCTGGCATCTGAAAATAAAATAGATACCAAGCCTCAAGTAAGATAAAAATAAAATTCAAAGGCCCAACCTTCATAACATCAAAAGGCCTAACCTCAAGCTGGGATCAGATAAAATCCAAGGGTCTCGCCCCTCTTGAATCCTCTTTGGAATCGAATGCCCTTGAGGGGCCCTGGGGAGGCCCTTGGGTCGGAGCCCTTGGAATTTATCTCACACATAGGGCCACGATAAAATCTAGCAAGTGTGCTGCTAAAATCTGGGGCCCAACCTTCAAATTTACTCAAAAAACTAAAACATATATTCTGCACCTCAGGGGCTGGAGCTCCTAAATCTCGTTGGAACTGCAATCAAAGTAGGTTGGAGCTAAAATCAAGGGGCTGAACCTTTGAAAATATAAGATAGGTACCAAATCTCAAGTAGGATGAA